AAAGGCATAATTGTTGAAATATTAATTGAAAAATTGCTCAAATTGATTGATTGACTGAATAAAGGGAAATGGACAAACTATAAAAGCTTGCTTGAGGGCTGGAATATATTTTCCATAGTAATTTGTTTATATAAGTTTATTGATTGATTGATTGACGATAAGCCTAAACTATAAATGCCAGGCAAAGTAAAATTTGCAATTAGAAGTGCTTTTTAAGCATAGTTCTTTATTCAATATAAATTGAGAATCTAATCAAATCTAGACTTGAAAGCAAAGCCCTTACCTTGGGCAAGTTTTTGTGTTTCACAAACACGTTTCTATATCATTTTTCTTTCTCTGTATTCTAAAGATTTCTGTATTTACATTGCAGTCCCAAAGCCGACTTTGTGTGTGTTCTTGAATGACTAATAACAAAGAAGAATAAAAATAAAACTGGGTGCACGACATATTTATGGGCGGCGAGGCAAACGTTTAAATAATTCTTTCTTTCATTTGTTTATCAACAGCTGAAATCGGGGAAACAAGCTGCCTCAAATCAAATCGAAATGCCATAAAAAAAAGACGTGTTTCTTCTCGAATGTCGCCCGTAGGAAAAGTCCAAAAGACAAGAAAAAGCGAAATGCGAGCTAATCAAAAATCGTTTATTTAACCCATAAATCGTTTGGAAATTAAACAAGGGATTCACAAATGGCATCAAAACGAAACGAAATGAAATGAAATGAAATGAAATGAAGCGCCAAAGGAAGTTGGCCTCGAACGTGTCTAAAATTTTGAGCGTCCATTGTTGTTGTTGCATATATTAGTATTGGGATTGTTGTTGCTGTTGTGGGAGTGAGTTAAACAAGAAATTTGCATTGACGCGCGTCTCAGCTGCCCAAATGAGCGCTAAAGACAAAGCGCACCCCAGCGAAGGAGAAGAAATAAACAAAAAGTGTTTCGCATGAAAACCAAATAAATAAGAACGACACAACAAAAGAAACCAGAAAGAAAACAAAGTTATAAACCGAAGAAAATAACAACACAAAAGATGTCAATCACGGTTGACCAACTAACTGATACCCTGTTATTAGGTGGATGGTCATTAAACATAGGGTATGGTTGAGCCATAAGTAAAAGGAATAAATAATATTGTATATCGATATCAACAATTTAGTCAAAAGAAAGCAAGCTGATAGATCAGAAACGTTGTAAACAATATACCCTATTTTAAACACTTCGTATAAGTACGGAGCATACAAAACAGAAGAAGCGATAAAGCGCACATTTGGGCAAACAGCCAAGAAGGGAAGACGCAGAGCAGAAAGAAAGAGAGAGCAAGGGAGAGAGAGAGAGAGGGACAGGCAACGCAATTCTGAATGACAGCGCGGCGATAAGACAAACACGCCGTGCCGTCACTACACTTCGTATATATACTAACGTATACATATGTATGTATGTATGTCCCCATTGTACGTGTGTATGTCTGGCCCCACCAAAACAAATGATTGTGCGCGCTTATCAGTCAAAGTTGAGGCGTCAGCATTTGAGATTTCTAGCTTGAATGCTCGTTTATATGTGGGCCAAAGAGATAGCGCTTACTAATTGGGGGCGGGGGGCCACAGCCATCAAACAGTCACCAATAGGTGCTGCTGATAAGAAAGTGCAGAGCATGGGAAAATGGGCAACAACAACAACAACAAGCTGTTGACTGTGATTCATTAACGTCATTTTCCTTCTTTTTGGGTCTTCGCTGCTTTTCACTATTCAACGAAAAATCTTGTGAAAATAGCTCACGAATTTTCCAATGAATAAGCCAAAGGAAATATATACATATACACTACATACATATATACTGTGTGTCGCAATTTTCATTGAGAGATGCTCATCAAAATTTTTACGACTTGTTTTTCGGGCTTTTAAGATCAATCAAGAAGATCATTCATGAGAAGCATTTTTGCCTAGCAGTTGTTGAGTGCCTTATGGCAAATTATATTCCACTTAAAACTATTGTATTGCAGTAAGAATACCCTGTAATTTATGCATGTAAATACAAATTTTATATTGTATATGATATAAATAAATATTAATCGCTTTTCATGTACTCCCCTGACTCTATACCAAGTACAGGGTATCTGAAAGTTGACTCATATCAACTAAATACTGTATTGTAATTTACTGTATTAGGTTCGAGCTCTCAATAACACGCTTTGTTCTACAGCCTAATAAAAATCATGTACAGTGAACACTCACTAGCTAAAACAAATTAAACTGAATTTAGAAATATTCAAATATGATTTATTTATAATGTTTACTACTTGCGCATGTTCCCTGCATTTCTCAGTCATCTAATCATATTGCTCAAATCGTATTGGAAGACAATAAAGTTCTTTATAATTCTACGGTCCGTATTCCAATCGATTCCAGGTAAAAATTTTATTCAAATGCAAACATAAACCCCCCAAAAAAAAAAGAAACAAAAATGAAGAAATATTCGCATTCCACCTTTCATTTCGTTTGCTTTGCTCTGTTTCGCTTTTTCTTAACTGCTCAAAGCACTTTGACTCTTGGCCGCTTTAATTCACCAGAAACAGACAGAAATAAAAACAAAAACAACAACATTAACAGCAAGAGCAACAACATTAACAGCCATTTAACAGAGCTTTCGACTCACGCCGCATTCTTTTGGCAAACGAGCATCGCGAAAATGCCGGTTTACGCGTTTTGCTTTTTGTTATGTATTTTCTCTATTGCTTTCTTTGTCGCACAGATTTATGCAATTTGCTGTTGGTGTTGTATTTTTGCCAAATGCCGAGCGAAAAAAGTACAAAATGACGATGAAGAAGAAGCGTAACATGTCTGCCTCTCCCTATCCCCCTCTCACTCACTCTCTCACACACACACACACACCGAGAGCTGCATTCAATGTCAGCCTAGGCTGCAAGAACAACACGAACAACAATGTGCGTGCTGTTTGCCATTGTCGACGACGACTGCGACGCGACTGCGACAGCGGCTGCTTGATGATTCATAAAACATGCAAGAACTGGAAAATCAAGTGGAATGCATGCAGCTGCAGCTGCGCGGGTGAGGCGACAGCCAAAAACCGCAAACGAAGCGCAGCGCAGCGTCAGCTGACACAATGGCCTCTCATTGTGAATGCTGCCTGCGATTGTGAGTGCGAGTGCGAAAGAACCAATAAACATTTTGCAACAATAAGTAAATAGAAGCAGAGTATCGATGGCAGTTATGCAGTATCGATTGTTTACATTACTCACCTGGGTATGCTAATCAAGTAGATAAGCAGGCGACGCAAATCCTCCGGTTTGAGGCGATCCCGACGCGGCGTTGCCGGAAAGCATAATAATGGTCCACCACGCCTATCACGCCCACCAGTGAGAAATACAACACGCTCCTGCAGCAGCGTTAACAGATCGCGGGCACGTTGACCATCCATGTTGTTGTTTGTATGTGTGTGTCTGTGTGTGTGCAGCTGTTTTAATAGTCTTTAACTATTGTGAGGGCAGCGCAGCATAACGGACTCGCCTTCAATTTCACTTAATTTGAAATATTTATTATTATTAATTTAGTCGTTGTTGTTGTTACACTTTTGCTAGCTTTGAAGGCTTTCATTGATTTTTGCGAATTTCTCGCTGCCATTTTTTTCATGGTCAACGCAGCAGCAGCGGCACTATATATTTGTATATACACATGCATGTGTTAGTTGGGTGTGTGTGTAGGGGTAGGCGGTTTGTTTAGAAAAAAGAACGGACAAATAAGAAAAATATATACAAATGGTCACACTCAACACAAAGCATATTAATTACATTTTAGACAAATTTTTTATCATATGGGCAGCCTTACACAGACAGATAGGGAGACACACTCACGAATACACAGACAGATAGGGACGCAAACACACACACATGACACGAAACACCCCCACCGAATAGCGGTTAAATGTTAAATGTCATAAATCAACTCTATGTCGTGTCACGCAATGGCCGCATAAAACATAAACGCGGAAATACATGCATACATACATACACATGCATATGTATATATTCTTATTTTTAAAACACACGCGTGGGCGAGGGGCACAAGGGAGCTATGTTGTTTTTTCGCAGCTGCACAACGCGCGCGTTTAATAATTTTTAATTGCCATTTTTACAATATGGGGCTTTAGTTTTACGAACTCCATCAACAATCACATCATCCGCCTTCGACGCACATCTTTTCACAGTTGCGTTTCGTTTCGTTTCGTTTGAGATGTTGTCTGCGTCTTGTGTCGCCTCCTCTCGCTCACTATATCACTCTCTCTCGCTCGCTCTCCCTCTTTCCACCTTCTGCTACTGTTACTTCTTCTTCATCTTCCTCTTCTTCAAACCAACACTAAAAACGCTTCTGGGATACAAATTGATTTTTTTCACTCGTTTGCGTTTGTTCTGACTGCATAAATGCACATTACCATAACACGCGCGTTTGCATTGTTTCATTTTCGGCAATGCTCTGATCATTCACATTATTTTTACTTAGGCTAGCTCGGTATTTATTTAAACAAATTTGCGGAGCAACAAAAATTTTTGCGAAATTTATGCGCTTCGCTCACTTTGTTGTTGCACTGTTAATAGTTCTCGATTGTTATGTTAACTCAAAATGGAAATGTTAGATTTCAAAAGAGTGACCAGCTGCGTGCAAGCCGAAAAATACCTAGAGCGTACATAAAATATGTTGGTAGTATTTTTGTATGCTGGAAATGCCAATTAAACGAATTTTTTGTGGCTCGCCAGTTGTTATTTAAACTAAGAATCATATTTATATTTATTTTGTAACCAAAAAGTTATATACTACCTCAATTCAAAATAAAATTCTAGCATGTGATATCATTGCGATGTGATTATTCAAATTATGCGGTCACTTTGAGAATGCCAGCTGGTCTGAGTAAATCTGCTGTAATTTTCGACAAGCTGGCAATACTAAGTCATGACAAGGCTGCCAGCACTCGCAACCAAATCAGCTGCTGTTTTCGACAAGCTGGCAGCACTATAAACATAATTGCAATAAGAATTTTATATTCCTCCAGGAAAATAAACAAATTGTAAAAATTCTGCGTAAAATCAAAGTTGCATTGCATCTAAAGAAGCGCCGATCGAAGCACAAGCCACTAGAGCAACAGGCACAGCCACAGCAGCAGCAACAACGCCACCATCGCTGTAACCAAGACGACGACGGCGACGCCAGCTGCAGCCAGATGGAAAGCAATTTGAATAGAATGATAAACCAAACGCTGCGTCATCCGCTCAGCGGGCAGCTAAGCAAATATACAAATGTAATGAAGGGTAAGGTAAATAAAATATCACTATATACAGGAATTTAAACAGTTCATCTCCTAGGCTGGCAATACCGTTGGTTCACTGTGGACGCCAAGACAGGCTATTTGAGTTACTATTTATGCGACTCGTCGGCTGTGGGTGACGACATTGCGCCCTCGCCCCATGTGCTGGCCAACACTCCGCGGGGCCAGGTGCAGCTGGCCGGCGCAGTTGTCTATCCCAGCGACGAGGATTCACGCACCTTTTCCATTGCCTGTGCTTCGGGAGACACGGTGAAGCTGCGCGCCAGTGATGCACGTGCTCGCCAGGAATGGGTCGATGGACTGCGCGCCGTCGTCGAGAGCCACACACAGGCCATGGACATAAGCAACTCATCGCCATTGCCGGCACGCGAACTGCTGGCCGCTTCGGATGCAATGGTCGCCGCTCGTCAGGCTCTATTCCTCACCGAACAGTGGTAAATACCATCTCGCCATGCGATCCTATAGTATCTGCTCTACGATGATCTCTTAACTGTTCTATCTAGCAACGCTTCTTTGGCACGCGCCATTGAAAACATTGACTGTGCTTCCTTTTCGCCCACGGATCCGGACCTATTGCTGCTGAAGGCCATCTCAACGGCCAGCACACAGTGTCTGCATCAATGCCTTGGCCTGCTGCAGCGTCACCAGGAGATCAATCAGCCCCCACTGGAGGAGGTGACGCCGCCAAGTATTAGTTTGGCTCTGCAGTAGCAAATCTATGTTAATTTCTCTTTTGTTTTGTTATCAAAAAGCAATAAAAATAAAATACTGTAAATACTAAATAAATACCAAATAATTATGTGAACCTAACATTTATTTAGATAGATAATATAATATGTAGTAAATATTCCCGATCAACAAATCTAGCTGGGCGTAAAAAAAAAACTCTTATTCTTCAACTTTTCTTTTGCTTTTATAAAATATTTTTTATTCCATTTTTTTGTTGATTTTCTTCTTCATTTTTTTGTTATTTGATTAATAAGAAACATTCATTTCGACATTTAAAAGTTAATTTGAACATAAAGTTTTGCACTAAAGTTGTTTTGATAAAAAACGTATAATAATTATACATATATATAAGTTTATATATATATATATATATTTCCTGGAAATTTTCGGTTAGCTTCATAAACTTATTTTCCTTTTCTTTTAGTTTAATTATTATTTTTTTGTTGAAATACTCGTAATATACCAAATTGGTAGGGAACATTAGAGTCTATTTTTTAGGGTGGTTGGGGGTATTAGTTATGAGAGTTACATACATAGATATACATATAAATATATATATATCTACATATCTGTCTATATGGCTATGGCTATTGTATAAACTGTAAATACTTTTTTATTTATTTTTAATTTGATTTTTAATTGCCGCTTGTTTATTATTTTCTAATTGTATTATTATTATTTTTATTTTAATATTATTTGTTGTGTGCTTGCAAACGAGATTTTTTATAAAAAAAAAAAACATATAAAATGCGTTGCCGAAAGATTTGCCTAAATGTTTTTTCATTTTTTTTTTAACTTAACACAATACTTATATATTTATTTAAAAATATATATAGTATGTATATGTCAGACTTTTTCTAAATTAATTAACGAAAGTTGTTGAATTAATTTTGTTCAGTTAAAAATTAAAAAAAGCTTAAGTTAAAATTAATGCTAGAAAAGGCACTTTAGAAGAGTAGAAGAGAAATTGTTGAATTTTGTAAGTTAAAGAATTAATTAACAAATAACTATTTATTATTCAAAGTTTAGCAATAATTAAAAAGTTTCAGAAGCCTAATTTTTTTTTTTAATTTTCAACAACTTTCGTTTACAATTTTCATTTTCATAATTTTCTATAAATTTTGTTTTGTATAAAGTTTTTGTTTTTTATTTTTAGTTAAAAATTTTGTTTTAAATTTACAAATTTGAGTTTTGTTTTCTCTCTTTTCTTTTTAACAATTTCTCTGAATTTAATTCCGAAAGGCATTTTTTGTGAATTTTTGTTTTTTGTTTTTAAGACCTAAACATTAAATTTAGTTGTTTCCATATTTTTAGTTTCCATTTTTAATACATATCCAAAAATTTTTAGTTTTTTTTTTTTTTATAATTTTTGTACACATACATTTTTATAAACTAAATAAAACTGGGCACACAATTGCTTTGATTTAAATAATTGTATTTTTCTTTTTTTAATGTTTATTTTATTTATTTTTAGCTGTAATTTCTGTTGTTGAAAAACTGTTTTGTGGGATTTAGTGTGGAATGTTCCAGGGTATTTCATAGAGTTTTCCATTTTATTTATATATATATAGTAAAAATTAAAGAGATCGCTATTTAATTAATTGTTTAACATAATAATACTATTTTGATTTTTTTTCAATTATGGTTTAAATTAAAAATATAATTATATTGAAGTGGACCGACAGAAACAAAGGAACGAGCGTTCGAAATACTAATATGTATAACATATACATATATGTGTATGTATGTATGGATGTGCATGGTTTCAAAATCTAGCAAATTTAAATTAAATAATATAATTAAAATATATTTTATGATTAAATTATCTAAATCAAAATATATACTTTTCGGAAGTTAAAAAATGTATATAAATTGGTTTATACATTTAAATATATATTTATTAAACTAAATTTAATAAATTACTTAAATAAATTCTTAATATTAAATTTTAGATACTTTTAAATCAATATGAATTTTATAAAAATTATTTTGTAGATATATAAATTGACAATTGAACGTTTTTTTAAATAATAAATATTTAAAAATTAATTTTTTTAAGAAACACATTTTAATCAATATTACATATGTTTAAATAAATTCATTTACAGCTAAAATTAATTTCAAAGTATGTATTTTTACTAAAATTCTGTTTAGTGATATCTAAAAATAAACTTATTTGGGCTTTGTCAACTTTTCAGAGCACCTTCGCATACATACACACACATAAATATATATAAATACATATAATATATAACTCAATATATATACACATATGTATTTCATATTAATTATTTCAGATTTGTTAAACTTTTCAAATTTCCATTTTACTCAAATCTCAATTGCTTAATTAAAAGGAAAATTTGTTGCTCTTTTGATTGATTGATTGATTTAGTTGAGTTTGGAGTTGGAGCTGGAGCTTGGACTCTACTCGCCGCTGGTCGTAATGGGCTCCACCTTGATGGAGCTGCCGCTCCCGCTGGCGGTGCTGCTGGCGCACATTTCTCCACCGGCTGTGCCACTGGCTGCTCCAACGGGTGTTCCGCTCGCTGCAGGCGTCGCTGCTGCTGTGGTTGACGCTGACGTGGAGGTGGAGGAGGCGCCCACTAGCTCTGCCAGGTCCTCGGCAAAGAGTCGCGTCGGCGAAAAGTCACGCTTGTAGCCCAGCTCCAAGCCCAACTCAGCCAGCGGCGAATGCAAGCGCGGCGGACTGCTCTTCGCCTTGGACTTGTCCTGCTGCTGCTGCTGCTGTTGTTGTTGCTGGTGTTGCTGGTGTTGTTGGTGCTGCTGTTGCTGGTGCTGCTGTTGCTGTTGCTGCTGATGCTGCATGGAACTGGCACCGAAACCGGATTTGTGGGGCTGCATGTGATGCGAATGCGGATGTGTGTGCGGATGCTGCACTGCAGCAGCAGCAGCCGCCGCTGCAGCAGCTGCTGCTGCCTGTTGATGTAAAGCGTGCTGCTGCTGTTGTTGCTGCTGCTGCTGTTGTTGTTGCTGTTGGTGCTGCTGATGGAGCTGCAGCTGCTGCAGATGGTGCTGCTGCTGCTGACTGAGTAGTGCAGCCGCTGCCGGATCTCGATGCAGTGCAACGGCCATGCTGGGCGGCAGATTCGGCAAGAGGCCGGCGGGACCGCAGGGCGAGGGCGCATGCCGTGCTCCCAGCGATGGATTTGAGCCACTGCTCAATGCTGGCGATATGCTAGCCCGTCCCGCTCCGCCCGTCAAATGGGGCGGCAAATTGAACAGGCCCGGCGGACCCGGTGGGGGTGGTTGCGGCCCCGCCTCCCCGTGCTGATGCTGCGCTGCGGCGGCCATTTGCATCTGCTGGCGTATATTGTGTGCAACGGCAGCCACCGCTGACATTTGCTCCTGCGACATTTGTTGCTCCGCACCACTCGCAGCGGCTCCCACGCCGCCGCTGCCCATACCATTGGGACAGGCGAGGGCGCTGAGGCTGGCGGCTCCTCCGCCAACAGGCTGACCTGGATAGCTTAGCGTCATGTCCTGCAAGGGAAAAACGGGCTAACCCGATCGGTAGTTTAGTGTGTGGATGGCTTGAAATGAAAAATTAATCAAGCAACTTGCGAAATTCAAATGGCAAATTTATTTGGTTGCGCCTGATCGTTGACAAATAGATCACTGCTATAAAACAGCAAAGAAGCATCGATAGGTGCTTGACATTTTACTCAAAAGGCAGCTTTCTTGATTGGACAATGTATGTCATCGATATTTTCTAAAGCAATCAGATCTCCGTTTTACAATAAGAACCATCGATACTTGCTTGAAGGCTCAAAGAGTGCTTTTAGACTTTATGTTAATCAAGCCTTTAATGTTAACTCTGCAGTCTAACAATAACAAATCTCTGTTGATAAAATGTTAAGCCTTACAGTCGGCTTAGGGACCATTTGAGAGGCATCGAAATCACATGGTAATCGATATCAAATGAATCGTGAATAAAAATGGCTGCTTCAATGACTGTGTCGTAATTTGTGCTTTAATTTTTTTGTTCTATTTTTTTTGAAGTGCAAGTGCTATGAAGTTTGTATTGTGGTGAATTGTGATTTGTTTTAACATACCGAATGCCGACCGTACGGTGGCATATGTGCGCCCAGGGTATCTTCTTTCATGTCCTTAGTGTCGCGAAACACGACCGTCTTGATGACGCCCTTGATGTGCTCGTCCGGCCAGATACCCAGGAGAATGCGTTGCGGTCTACCTCGTCCCTTGGGTCGCAAATCGGGTCCGCCATCGATCGAGGGGCCGAGCATATTGTGCACCCGATTCGCGTAGAGCACAAATGTCGGATAGGGTATATCGTATTTTCGCGCCGCTTGTGATAGTGAAAGTCCTTCCTTTAATACGCTGAAAATGGCTTCGGCCATCGTTTCGGGTCGCCATGATTTAAGCGGTCCGCGTTCGCGAAACCGCATGTGATGCATTAGGTTTTGATTCGTGTTCCAGCATTTTTGCCACATCGACTGCAGCTGATATTGATAGCTGTCTGCTGGAATGTTCGAGAAGGATACATACAATATAACGGAATGCAGTGCATTGGGTGAGTGCCAAAACTGCCAGCTTTTGATTGTCTATACAAACCTGCTAAAGTTGAGCCACTTGCGCCCATCCAAGCGTGTGAGTTTTCCATCATTTTTGCCTATTGAACATGAAGAAGGAGAAGAACATGAAAAATAACGGAAGTCATTTAAATTTATATGGAGAGTGAGCGAGAGGGAGAGAATTAATTGCATATCTATATTTGCTGCACAATGCGCCCCTGCCATTGATGTAGAAGAAGATCGATCTATTTGGGTATATGGGTTAGGAGTATTGATATGTGACGGTAAAATAAAAAAAAGTAAAAAAATATTAAAAATATATGTATATAAAAATATTTTGCTTTATATAGATTTAATTGTAAGAAACATTGCTCCAGTTTTATTAATAACTGTACTGTATTCAGAAAATTGTTGTGTGGCCATACCATAACTAATTATTAGGCTCAATGAATAAAGCAGCTATAGAAAGTAATTATAAAATACAGGCTAAGACTACAATT